CAAGATTGCGAATAACACTTGCCGACTTTGGAATTAATAATAAAGAAATTCTGGTTATTAACCTTCGAAATTTTTAAAATTCTAAAATTGTTGTTAATTTTCTCGTAAGATTTCGTCCAATATAGATATTCCCCGCGCGATCTGCCTCGATTCGAAGCTTTGTTATTATGAAAAACACTCATTAATTTTGGGGGTACTTTAACCCTAGATTACAAAGGCGTCGTCTGCCAGACGACGCAAACTAGCGCTGAAAGCTTCCCCCACTCCCTTTCGCTCACTCCGTTTCTGAAACATTTTACACCTGAATAAAATTGTAATGGACTATATTGTATTGGATAATATTGAATACTAAATCCTTGTTTTGTAATGAATACATATGTAAATATTGAATAGAAAATCATTGTCTTGTTATGAATACAAATGTAAGTAATAAATACAAAATTTCTTGACCTTGTAGCTTTTAAGATTTGTTCTGAATATTTAGCTATCACAACGGCCATATCAGTCATCATAACCAGGACGATGGTTATCATAACAAAGGTGGCGTGAAGAGGTATTCGGTGGACGCTTACCTAAAGCGAATGTGGACAGCACCAAGCACGTGTCTGCTGTTAGAGACATTTAGGTGTATCTACAAAAACATTGAAAATGTATTTTGTTACTCCATATCGTACATGTTCAAATAACTACATTCAGTGTTTAATTATAAAAAATTCTTTATTTTTAAATAAATTGGTCTGTCAGACGACGCTTTGAAATAATGCTTGATACAGGACAACGTTGTAATCTAGGATTAAATAAAGCCCCTGGGACAATTTCAAAATTTTCTGAAAAACAGCTCTGACTTTTTTAAAATTCTTGCAAGAATATAATAAAATACACTTACAATGGTGGCATACGTCCGTTTTTTACTGTTCATTCTAAAATTTTTAAAAGTGCAAAAGTTTGAAATTTTTTGCCTTATACCTATTACAAAATTTGAAAAAGATATTTTTCCTTCAATTAAATATTTTTCTTCTTAGTTACATCTTTCATTACGTTTCTTTTTGAAATTTCAGTTGTTTTCGCGCAATATTGCGTGGAATGTGCTATATTAAAAAAATTACAAAACAAGATTTTCTCGAAAATATATTTTTGGACAGACGATCAGCCGCACGTTTTGAAAATAAAACACTTTTCGGTAACATGGTACCCTAAAACCTGTATTTCCATTGAAATCGCGAAATCGATTATCCGCAGCATTACATAACATATTACTCCGTATATACCAACGTATACGGGAAAGTAAAAAGTCTTGATTAGGGGTATCCACCTAGGGCATTCGCAAATAATTATTTATGTGAACATTGTAAGTTGTTTAACATCAGATTTAAGACATTAAGATGAACGGAACTTCACATCAAGACAGAAGGTTACTGGTGGTAGACGGGAATATTCGCGGAAGATTCTTAGCTTCGAGAATCCGGTCTAAGAGGAGGACATCAGTTTTATAAACTTGAAGCTCCACGAAAAAAAATATTACAAGGTAATTAAAAAACGATTCTCAGCAAAGAAAGTAATGGACAAGGTTTTTCGGTAAAGTAAATGTTCTTTATTAGCAAAATACAAGTAAATTTGATGGCAT